TGAGATTTTCACCGGAAAAGTGTGGCGTTCGGAGGAAGCCTGGTGGTCGGAGGCTGTTGAAAAAGGAAAAATCAGATATAGGGAGAGAGAATGTATTTATTGTAGGTTTTAATTTGACAAAAAAAAAACAAATAATTAATATAGTGCATTTAATTCATAATGTGTATTTAATTTGTGTATTAAATTCTATAATTGTATTTGATACTCGAGAGGTGTCATTTTTCCAACTCCTTAATGGATTAGCATGCTAACCGACCCCACTAATCACTTATGAGTAGCAGTGAATCATAATAAGAGAAAGCTGCGGTAATCACGGTTTTTCGGATCTGGATTCTGGATGTAATTAATACCCACTATACAGCGCAATCCACAAAGAATCCATTGCTCTGTGTATTTATGACTTACCCGGAAAATCTCCGATCCTTGCTTCTTTCGATCAGAACATACATATACTGATATACATATTTTTTTCCAACACCACTGACAAGTGACAACCAACATGTTACGCATAGTTTAACATTTTTATTTTATTTGTTATTACCTCAGATGTAAATCTTTCATTGTCGGCTTATAATGACCACGTGCTTATGCCAATTTGGCTGCTGCTCCTGATTATCAATGTATTATATATAAACTCATCCTAACTAAATTCCTCGGGTTGCTTAATTAGTTGAGCTCTGGATCAGGTGAAGGAGGAAAACCATGTAGGAGTTTTGATGGAGTATCAGAATGTTTATTTGTATTTGTTTGAACCGCAACGCCTTGTTGGAACCCCCGCAAATTCCCTTTGATCGGCGCCTGCCTACACACACGAACACGGAGGGGGTGTCTGGGCCCGTTAATCCTCCGACGCTCAAGTTAGTTCCTTAGAGAGGGAAGTATGCCAGAGTAAGAGTTTTAGTCAGAGAATCCAACCTGTGTAAATGTTACCAACTGCCCCTATTTATACTCACCAAGTTCGAGTCTGATCTCCTCCACGTCATTGTCTCATTTAATGCCCTGTACCTTCTTTGTCAGACATCCCAACCACCTTGTCAGGCTTCTGCCGCGTGACAGGCGCCCGCAGGCGGTGGACCACTTGACAGTCTGACCTCCCTTGGCTTTTGCCCTGTACCCTCTTTGTCAGATATCCCAACTACCTTGTCAGGCTTCTGCCGCGTGGCAGGCGCCCGCTGGCGATGGACCACTTGACAGCCTGGCCTCCCTTCTTGGCTTTTAGCGTTTTGTCCTCATTCGCCCCTCACCTTGCTTGGGCCTAGAAGGGTTTCACAAATCCATTCCTGGGCCTTGTCCCCCAATGCTGTTGTTTGGAGGCCCAGACCACTGTTTGTTGGGCTTCAATTGTAGTACCCCAACAGTTTTTTTTTTAATTCAATTTGATTTTGTTCACATGGATCATTTGTATTCGTTATGATAAGTTTACTTCGTTCATTAATTTTTTTCTTCCAGAAAATACAGCGGATCAATTTTTTAGTGGACAAAAGAATAGTGGGATCTCCTACCGTAACTTGAATATAATTTCAAGTTAGGTAACTTGTATAGATCTAAACTGTTAAAATTGAACAAACTTATTTTAAACCATTGATTAAAGAAATAAAAAATAACTAAAAAAATAAATGGCAGCATGGGTTGCCGGTCACCACATTCCCAAGTTACCTTTTTTATATTTTTCTTTCCTTTTTCACATTTATTTGTCTTTCCATATTTTAACCTTTCCTTTTTTAATTCTTATTGAATTAGAAGCGTTATGTAAGGCTTCCGTAATAATTTAGCTCTTTATGTAATACGACGTTAATACTCATTACGTAAAGAGACCTTCTATTACGTAAGACTTCCGTAATGATATTTACAACTGTTACGTAAAATACACATTCACTATGTAAAGGTTACGGAATGATAGTTATTTCTTACATAACAGTTAAATCGGAAGCGTTACGTAAATGACTTAGCACTTTACGTAACACAAGGTTAATACTCATTACGTAAAAAGACCTTCCATTACGTAAAGGTTACGGAACGACAATTATTTCTTACGTAATAGTTAAATCAGTAGCGTTACGTAAGGTTTCCGTACTTACTCTGCATTTTACGTAACGCGAGGTTAATACTCATTACGTAAAGACACATTCTGTTACGTAAGGCTTCCGTAATGATCTTTTACAACTATTACGTAAGATTATCATATGTTACGTAACCATTACGTAATGCCTATTGTATTTTACGTAATACGACCTGTGAAACCTACTATAGCAGGTAAAAAAATTCAAGTTACCTTACTCCAAGTTACCGTAGGAAATCCCAAAGTATATATGTAGGAAGACCACCTGAGTTGAAATAGTTAGTATCCATGACGGTTTCTTACTATTTCAACTATAAGTGTAAATAAGTGTTTGTTACATGCAACTTTTGTCCCATATTTGAATGCCAGCACCATTCTTTGTCACAATCGTTACTCCTGCGTATTGCAGTACGGGAGCAGATCCGGTGAGTAACTTTGTGGTGAGTAACCCCATGCATAACCCAATAAGAATCTGCCACATCAGCGCCTCCTTCTCTCTCCTGGAAAAATCATTGATTTTCTTTCTCTTAATCTTTAACGGACGATTTCTCACTCGTTTTAACTCGGAATTTAATTTTTTTGCACAGTTAGATCAGATTAATTGTGCTCTTCAAAATGATATCCACGTTGATATCTTTTGGAACAAAAAAAATTTGCCAGTTATTACCAGTCAATACCATATGGTATAAAAAATACCACCTCATACCAGGATGGTATAGTATGGTATAGAGTTGGTAACGATTCAAAAAGATATCCACTTTGATATTTTTTGGAACAAAAAAAATTTGCCAGTTATTACCAGTCAATACCATATGGTATTGACTGGTATTAAATAACAGCATACCCGATGGTATGAAAAATACCACCTTATACCAGGGTGATATAGTATGGTATGGAGTTGGTAACGAGAGGTATGTAAATTTTTGCCCCAAAAAATTTTGAAATCCAATAGATCATGATTAAATCGTTCCTTTTGTGCAAAATTTTTCGAAAATGACTAAACAACGAAGGAGATACCATATGGTATGGAGTTGGTAACGAGAGGGATGGAATTTTTTTTCTAAAAAAATATTGAAAATGGATATCATTTTGTAGAGCACAACGAACTCGTTCCATCTGTGCAAAAAATATAAAAAAAAAAATTGAAATCTGAGTTAGAATGAAGAAGATATGATCCAATCAAGAAAACTAGGAAAAATAAATTCCTTTAATTCTCCACCCTTAGATCTGCAGCCACTTAAAAGGAGGGTTCAGATTTGGTTACTCGCCCTAAGATTACTCACCCTATCTTGAGCCTTGCAGTACATCTCCAACCAGTGGCAGACATTAGGTTAAGAGGAGGTGTCTCAAGCCGTCAGAAATTTATGTGAAAAAAATCTTGTTTCGTCACTATAAAAAAATTTATATTAGGATCTCTGCCACACCTTACAAAATTGGAATTGACACATTTGGTAACTATAAATTATTTATTCATTATCAAAATTTTCTATAAGTAATTAGTGATTGATAAAAAAAATTATATATAATTTGTCCATACAATGTCATTGGTTATCTATCTCTCATTTTATGGTGAGCCACTAATTCATCGTGTGTTCATACTCTTGGATTCGTTTTATGACCATTCCAAGCTCATATAATTTCATTATAGAAAGAAGTTTGATCAAACTCTATCAGCTCGATCAATAATTTGGAGTTCGTAACAAACAAAAATGTTTTAAAAATTATGCCAGAAATTAATTGATTAACTTATTAAAAGATTCCTCCTAGATTTTGAAGTACAAAACAAAGAGTCCTAATTGTCTGGGAAGAGAAAAAAATGAAACAGCGGACAAGGGATGAATAAGTCGGTGGTCCTCAGGCTTTTGTCTTCCACATATACGTTACATGAATTAATTCATTGTCTCGAATCTAGAGATAATGCAGAGATTATTACAGATCTTGATTTGCATATTTAATTAAAGAAGTGATCAGAGAGGGACGTAAAAAATGAGAATGGAGCAGGAAAAAAGACCAGTAACTACAGAGCCCCAAAACGAAAAACTCTGGAAAATCCCAAAATGCGAAAGTATGGTCGTGTCTTATATCATTTGTGATGATCAGAAGAACCCTATCTCCCTCGTGATCCACTCCATTAGTTGCTAATGGGAAGATTCCTTTCACTTCTTGATAATCAAGGAAGATAAAAGGCTCAAAAGAAAGATAGAGGTGCTGCTAACATGCACGTACCACAAAAAATACAATTGAAGGTGTTTGAGCCCAGATACTTTGGAGCCCAATTCTCCACTAGCTCTATCCCCGTGCAACGAGTTTTAGGCACCTGACCTACACACATGCACACAGAGGCGCCTGGGCCCGTTAGTCCAAATCCGTTTGGATCATAGAGAGAGAAGTGTAAAACTTTAGTGTTAAGTGAGAGAATCCAACCTGCGCAAATGCTACCTACCGACTCTATTTATACTCACCTTACTCTGGACCGGGCTTCTTCCACCCAGTTCCACATCAGCATCGTTTTTAATGCTCCGTACTTCTGTTATGCTGGGCGCCCCGACCAACGTGTCAGGCCACTGACAGATGCAAGGCGCCCAGACCGTACTCTCTTGGAGTCTTCCGAACCTTGTCTCCTTTCCTCGTTTCAGGCGCCTTCGTATTACGAGACAGTGCGCCTATCAACTAATGATTTTTCGGACTCGGGCGCCTGGATAGCGCGCTCCATTTGTCAACTACTCACCTTATTCTTTCTTTGACACAGGCGCCTGGTCACCCACCGATTTTAAGAACCCTTCTTTTCCCTAGGGGCCCGGATTGCGCGCTCCCCTTGCCCCCCTCTCGGGCGGTTTTTGAAATTCAAACACCCGTCCGAGATCGTGACACGTGGTGAACGGGCGCAGATCTCGAGGCGTGCCCCCTCCCTTCCTATAAATACTTCTCTTAGCCCTCATTTTGTCTCCCATCTCTTCAAAGCATGCACTCTCTCTCTCTCTCTAACTTCTCTCTAGCCTCGCCTTGCCTGCTGCTCGCGCATCCTTCCTCGTTCAAATCTCCTCAACATGTCTGCCTCCCCGAACCAACCTACTAGCATGGGCGCTGCTCCTGAGCGAGGGGCCCCATCAAACCCTGGTAAGCGCCCGCCTCTAGTTCGATTTTATCTTGAAAGTTATGTTTGAAGGTTAAGAGAGATGGGCGCCTGGTTTAGTGAGATCGTGTTCACGCATATTCCAAGAGAGGAGAACGCCTACGCGAACGCCTTGTCAAAACTAGCAACCGCTCTCGGCTTCGTAGAGGAACGAAATGTCATCGTCACAAGGGAGGTGCCACAAGAACATCTGATGGCCACCTTAACTAGTGCAGGTGGTGGTTGGATGGTATCCATAGAGCTGTTTTTAACCCATGGCATAGTTCCCAAAAACTTAAGAGAGACCTGGCGCCTCCGTCGAAGGGCGGCTCGATGCTGCATTATAGAATGCTGGCTCTACAAAAGATCCCATTGGGGCACATACTTGCGATACTTGACCTGCTTTGGCCTTCCAAAGTCCATCGTTATGGACCACGGTAAGCAGCTTGATTGCAAAACGTTCGTCAAATTTTGCGAAGAGAATGGCGTGGTGTTGCGGTTCTCCTTAGTAGCATATCCTCAAGCTAATGGACAAGCGGAGACGGCCAACAAAAGTATCTTGCATGGGTTGCATACCAGGCTGTCAGGCGCCAAAGGCAGATGGGTGGAGGAGTTGCCTAGTGTTTCATGGGCACACCAGACGACGTATAAGACAACACGGGTGAAACACCATTTGCCCTAACTTATGGCGGGGAGGCGGTCATTCCAATTGAGGTCACTGTTCCAAACTATCGTGTGGCTCATCACGACCCCACCAACAATGATAGGGAGTGAGTCGATGATCTAGACTTGGTGTACGAGAGGTGCGAGGTGGTCGCGATACACCTAGAGGCTATGAAAAAGCAAGTTGCAAGATACGACGACAAGAAGATGCACCTGCACGCCATCGTAGCAGGCGCGCAAGTTCTTAAACGTGATTTTAGACCAGGCTCCCAGGAAGGAAAGTTGGCACCAAGATGGAAAGGTCCATATCGTGTTCGCGAGGTCAAACTCCCCTTCCTGGCGCGCCAATTGTTTGAGCTCAGATACTTTGGAGCCCAATTCCCAACCAGCTCTATCCCCGTGCAACGAGTTCTAGGCACCTGACCTACACACACGCACACGAAGGAGAGAGCCTGGGCCCGTTAGTCCTCCAACGATCAAGTCAGTTGGGATCTTAGAGAGAGAAGTGTCAAGCTCTAGTGTTGAGTGAGAGAATCCAACTTGCGTAAATGCTACCTACCGACTCTATTTATACTCACCTAACCCTGGACCGGGCTTCTTCCATCCAGCTCCACGTCAGCATCATTTTTAATGCTTCGTACTTCTGTCTGACTAGGCACCTTGACCAACGTGTCAAGCCCCTGACAGATGCATGGCGCCCAGACCGTACTCTCTTGGAGTCTTACGAACCTTGTCTCCTAGCTTCCTTTATCACACCTGGGCTTGGCCTCGCGGGCCAACCCATGGGTTGGGCCCATGGATGATAAAGCCCAAGGTAGGGTTTAAGATCAAAGTATCTCAGCTAAGAGGTCTAGAACCTTGGATCATTTCTCTTCAAACAAGAACTCACAAAAACAGGGTCGATTTGTGGGTTGGGTGGTGATTTTCGTGCAACTTTCACGAGGGGAAAGAGGCTCGAGACTTTAGGTAGTTGCTTGGCCACGATCAAGGTGATGAGCTGATCGATACAAGCTCACGATTGCTCAGAATCCTCCAAGCAATCCAACTCAATGCTTCAAGCAAACTTGCGAGATGAATCAAAGCTCTACTTTGTATTCAATGACGAAAAAACTGACTATCACAATGAATTGGAACTCTTAAATAGACCTATGCTAACTAATCAAACTACTCTGGAAGTCCTTAACACAATCAAATACGAAAAATTAGTTCAAAACAGAAAAGGTTAAACTAATCCTAATCCGCAAAGGACTCGGATTCGCAGCTCAGCAAGACAGTCTCAAACAAGCTTCACCCGATCTTGCTGGGGTTCGCACGAAGCTTTCCGACCTTCAATCCAACGAACTTACACCACATCGTTGGAGTAAATGAACTGTACTTTCATGGGGTGCGGGGTTCCAGCCTCGACTCTTCTCCATGAATGTCAAATAGATCCCCCAAAGTCGCCTTGCTGGTCACCCTCCTTGCCTTAGCCGATTTATGGCCCTTTCCCGGTTTTGACTTAGGGTTTTGTGAGGCTCTAAACACGACTCTCCCAGCTTCTTCTCGAGCTCCCAACCATTTCCTCTTATAGAGAAACTTCCCAGATTCACAACAAGCCTTCATTCGCCCTTTTTCATCGAGCCAAATAAAAGTTGCATACGTGCAAAGAAGGGTACCTGAAAAACTTGCAACACTTAGGAGGCAAATTCATGGTTCTTGTTAGTGTTTGAGATTACTTTTCGATCAAGCAATTCAAGCTTGTTAGTTGACCCAAATTGGATCATATCAATGGAGTAACCCTCTTCATCCTTATTGGGCCGTCTTGGCCTTCACTTGGGCCTATCTTTGTAATTCCCCCAACATAAGGCATTGTTCATCTATCCCAATTAGTATGAGACCTTTTGAGGAGAATATCCAAAAATAAATATGTGTGGGTTTAGACAAAGTAGACAATATCATACTAACGAAACTACTCGATTCCTACAAGTGGTACAGAGTCTGGTCCAGATCTGAGGCGGTGGACGTCATGGTGGGCCCTCATTCTGAGACATTAGGATTTGAGATCCGCTTATGTCTGGCATATTACAAAGATATATATGCATCATGTAAATTCTTGTATCGAGCTAAGTCAGCGATACAAGGTGTCTGACGGATCAAAATATTCATTGTAGGAGAACACGAAGTTCGTGGTCCTTGTCTTGAGGTGGCTCGGTTCCTGAAGGACCATCCTGAGTCGAATGTCCAGTTTGTTGGCATGGAGAACAATAGGGTAGCTCATTTTTGTTAGCTAAGAAGACTTTTGCTTTGTTCTCAATCTCCATAATAGGTTTCAATTTTTGTGCTTGGCTTCAATACGAAGTTTGAACATTGTATCTTTGTTATCTTGGTAATTCTAATGATACAAATAAATGCATAAAAATTGTTTAGATTAAATGGAAGAAAATAAATCCAAGTTGTGATTTATCCCAAATATAAAAAAGAGATGATACCGACATGATGAAGTTAAAACTAACAAGTCGATCGTTTGCTTTGTGCATTTACAAAATCAATCATTTGGTCAAATTAAGGGTGAGCATCAGTCCAGAAAATGATCGAACTGAGATAGAACCAAAACAAAGGAAAAATGGGGACCAGAACCCGCTCAAAAGCATGTTTAGTTCATTTGGATTGGATTCGATCCGGGCCAAATTTAATTTTGGTCAATTTTTTTCTTCATACTTAAATAATTCATAGAACCAAAATTGAATTGAAATATATTCAATCCAATCAGACTTGGTCCAAATATCAATTCGATCTTGTGAACCTGATTGTTTCCCACCGCTAGGCCAAATATATACATATGTCACATGTAGGTATCTAATAATGTAGACATTTTCAAAAGTTTTGTTTGTTATAAAAATTTGTATGATTCATTTGTATAATGTAACTAATTTGCCCATACATGTACTATGTTCCATTTACTTTGTTCTAAAAACACTAACCACGAAAAAAAAAATTATTTTGCAACCAACATGTATCATACTATTTGGGTGTCATATATAATAATTCTATTTTTCATTTTTAATGATAATTTTATGTTAACTTTCTTCATAATTGTTCCAAAGTATCTCATTTTACAACCAAATATAACCTATAATTGAAACCAATCTTCAAAATAGTAACAAATATTTTACTAAAAATAATTAAAAATTATTTGAAAAATATACTCTTTTTTTTTTGAAAATTAGTAGGAAGAATTGAATTTATGAAGACAAAATAAAGAAAATCTGGTTAGAATAATCAATTTATTATTAAATTTTTTTCGTCTTTATTTTACTCCATCAATCTTATAAAATGAAGTATATCTCGATCTTTTTTTACTAAAATATTATTTGTTTTACGTCTACTTCGTATGATTTCGATTTTGAGATGTATCATGATGACTTCTCAAGAGACCACTGATCTTTGCCCTGGTCCACACTAGACACATTTTACTTGGGGAGATGAAATTTGGCAACTGCATTTGTTATAAAAGGGGTTAATCAGCCGAAAGGGCACCAAACATATAGGGAAATTAATGTCGAGCTTTTCAATGATGTTGAAATAACCGGTGGCCCTGTGTGTTTTTGTAAGGTAGCCGTTACCCCAGCCGCAATCACACGATTAACACTGCCTTCTGCAACCGTCATTTTTACATTTGATATGGCTAACGCACGCAGATTGTTTCCCCCCCAACTATTTTATGCCACTGCTGTATGACTATACGTAATGTTTGTCTGCTGTCTGCAGAATTGAAGAGTAAGCCATGGGAACAAATAACCAAAAACTGAAACCAGCTGACATGTGCGGGCGCCGTAAGCATGAAACATACATAGGGAAGGGAACCGTTACCGCAAGACGAAGATCGAGGGAGTTGGACTATTAAATGAGACGGCTAGCCACGGCAGCTGAGCTTTGCTAAACTCCAACCGCACCAGCAGTCCCAAGGCAAAGCTCATTACGGCACTGCAAACCGGACGAATGACTCTTTGCAGCAAGCTGGTGCAAGACAGTTTCTTTTAGCAGCTCGTGTATTTCTTGCTGATCCCATCAAAATCGATCGTCATTCTCATCGACTTCTGTGATGCCGATAAGCATTGCTTCCGGTTAGAACATGTTGGTAAATGGTAACTGTTAGCAAGAGATGCTGCTACACATTGATGACTGAATTCAACAAAGATAGACTCTTTCAGTTACAAGAGATTGACACACAAAATCTCCAATACAGTCTTTGCAGCTGCTAGCTGAAAAAACTAACATGAGTGGGTTCTATGAAATAAAAACTAATAAAGTCCGGTTTGAGTATCAACGATCTCCCTGATCCTTTACCTGCGGCCTGCCCAAATTCACTTAATTGAGTTCCGAGTTTGCTGTCTACAAGAGCTTGATGATTGCTATCACAGATTCGCGCTCAATGGTTGAGTTCATGTTATTCATGAAACAATGTGATGTTGGTGTGGCAGGGAGATGGTACCAGAACGAACCAATTTTCAGGAGACTTAGCCAGTTACCACATAAAACAATTTCTTGTGAGTAGATTTCTTGATATCCAGTATGATACCAGAAGGTCTGCAAAGGTAAAACATGAAAAACAAGAGTGAAAGCTGTCAACTGTCACGTACTAAAGTTTCACCTATCCAGGAAATTTATCATCAAGGCCCAAAAATGTGCTAAAGGAAGAATGACTCAACAGGCATTGTACTGAACTAGCAAGAGTCAGGCCATAACCTGGTAAGAAACAAGTAATCCAGACTACCAGAATCATAGCTAGACCATCAAACTAGCTATCAGCAGGCTAGTACAGTAGGGAGACACCAACCCCTTTGATTTTGATGCTCTTTAATTTCTCAGAATCTTCTCCATCTTCCTTCCAGTTTAGGGGTGAATCTGAAGGAGACAGAGCGCCCATCATATCTCTCATACCAAGGTTCTGCTTCTCCTCGTATAACTTCATTGGTCCCACCCAACAAGTTCTTGTCATACCACATAAACACGTTATCTGATTGGTTTCGACCCAAACCGAAAATAGGAGAACTCAAAGAGGCAGCAGCGGTAGTGGTGCCAAACGTTGCCATCGCAAGTGATCGATATCCAAACGTGCCCAATAACCGAAGAACACACAACACCAAATCCAATCCCTTTGATCGGCCGCTTAACGGTGAAGTTTGGAGGAGACAATTGCACCATTCGGTTTTCTGTTCCTCCCTTTTTTCCGGCCTGAAGGATGTGTAGTCCGGGTGGTTTCGGTTAACAGAAACTAACACTGTTTCCTTCTTGTGTTTATCTTCCTTCACTGTTATGTGTTAATGAGTGAAAACACTGTTTTCATGAGCAATTCACGCTTAGAACATCTTGTTCTTGGTAACTGTAAGCTAGATATGTTGCTACATATTGATGACTGAATTCAACAAAGATATACACTTTCAATTAAGAGATTGCCACACAAATCTCCAAGACCGTCTTTGCAGCTGCTAGGTTCAAAAACTAAATTAGTGAGTTCTATGAAATCAAAATGGATCAAGTCTGCTTTCAGTATCAAAGATCTCCTAGTTCCATTACCTGCCTACATGGTAGGCCTACCTGTTTTATATATATTTTTTTTTCTTTTTTCTTTTGAAGAGGTATGCCTACCTAAGTTCACTCAATTTAGTTCTAAGTTTGTTGTCTACAAGAGCTTGACGATTGATATCACAGATTCGAGCTCCATGGCTAAGTTCAATTTATTCGTGAAACAAGATAATGTTGGTGTGACGTGGAGATGATACAGGAACGTACTAATTTTCAGAAGACTTGGCTAGTAACCACTTCGACAATTTCTTGTAGGTCGATTTCTAAATATCCAGCGTGATACCAGAAGGTCTGCAAAGCAAAACATGATTTGACCTACATTGATAAGAGAAACAAGAGCGGAAGTTGTCAAATGTAGTTTCATCTATCGAGGAAATTTATCATCAAGGCCAAAAGATGTGCGAAAGGGAAGAATGACTCAACAAGCATCATACTGAACTAGCGCCGGACCCGGCCCATTGGCCGGAAGTTGTGAAAATGAATATGGATATAATAGATGATTGAAACAATAAAACTGAATGTAATGTATATTTTTTTACCTTCGTTATACATTTCTTGTGTCTTTTCTATTCTAATTATGAAGTTCGAATTTGGTGCACAATTAGAGATTTATTAATTAAAATTGCTTAAGAAATGCTTTCCCAAAAAATTCTTTAGAAATCAAATATTCAATTGCTTATTGAGTTATATGTTGAACAACAATAATTAGAAGCAACACTAAAGAATGCATGATCATTGAGATACTTGTCTTGTGTCTTTTCGATTCTAATTATGAAGTTCAAATTTGGTGCACAATTAGAGATTTATTAATTAAAATTGCTTAAGAAATGCTCTCCCAAAAAATTCTTTAGAAATCAAATATTCAATTGCTTATTGAGTTATATGTTGAACAACTATAATTAGAAGCAACACTAAAGAATGCATGATCATTAAGATACTGAATCCCAAACAAAAGTGAAAGAATTAAAAAGTTACCAACAAAATCTTTTTACTATACCATTTTACCTATTGGGTTATAGGTATAATATGCCCCTCTACTATGATGTTTTATCAAACATGCCCCTCTACTATTTTTTACATCAAACATGTCCCTGTAATTTGGAAAAACTATCAAACATATGCCCTTCAGTTAAAATTTCCATTGAGAAAATCGTCAATCATGGCTGAACTGAGATTAGATGATCTGACATCGATAAATGAGAGGGAAAATGTCAGTTTTGACCCTTGCTTTATTTCTCTAGGTCTCATCAAAGTGAAATTATTAGAATTATTTGGCTATACTAAAGAACAAAAAAAACTCTAAAGTGAAATTATTAGAGATATTTTAGATATTTGGGTCGCCCAAACCAAAGTTCGGTCTTGGTTAACGATTTTTGGATGGAAATTTTAACAAAAGGGCATGTTTGATAAGTTTTCCAAAGTACAGGAGCATGTTTGATGTAAAAAATAGTAGAGGGTCATGTTTGATAAAACGTTATAATGAGAGGCATATTATACCTATAACCCTTACGTATTTAATTATCACATATAGTGGAGTTCTAAAGACCGATAAGCTCATTATGAACCCAAACAATTAATCCAAAATTATATTCCAATTTGGTGTGTTCAACGACAAAACGAAGCTAATTTCAAGCAATTATCAAACAATTCCAAGTAATTGCGTTTACTTATCATCATTGTCAATCGATTGTGATGTATGTATCCCCTTCCACCATTTTTGCAACTTTTTCCAATTCCCAAACCCATACTTCACCAGACCTTGAACCAACTTATCAATTGTTGATGTTTTTGGGATGCAATCCTTAGTATTCTCTTCCTTCACTGGGTTGAAGTTATTTTGTATGGGTGCCTTTCGCCATGTTCTCATTCATGTTTCAATTAGGCGAGATACCTTTGTTTGCATCCCCAAAGCTATGACTAATTCACTACAGATTCTGTTTGGAAAGTTGGTGAGTCTGATCTCCATTTGTCCCACCATATTGTTGCCTGCTCACCATCTCCAATCTTGCATATGAAGCTAGTCTTAACTACATTCTTAGTTGCCATAATACTATGCCATAGGTATCTTGGATTGTTCCCTTCTTATGTTGTTAGGATATGATAATCTCGATGATACTTTCCCTAGAGTAAGGGTACCGCTAAAGTGTATGGGTTTTATATTAGATTCTAGACTTGTTTTTCAAATAAAGCACAAATTATATGTAATTGGCTCACTTTTTGCGGCGGATAATAGTAGATAACTAATATTGAGCTACACCGAATTGAATTAAATCGAACCTTTAATTAGACTGATTCATATCATACTTCGATTTAACTTTATTCAAAAATTCAAAAAAATTATTAAAAAGAATGCAAAACATAAACCAAATAAAAATCATGACCAGAGCAAATACCATTTTAATCATCACAAATTATTTTTGAAGACTTTTTTAAAATTTAAAATTCATGTACTTTGCTTGATGCATGGTTAGTAATAGAAATACCGGGATAAATTTTTTAAATGAAAAAGGAAATGACTACGAAAATCCTCATGAAAAAGAAAATAACGGGATAAATTTTTTAAAAATTATTGAATATAATATATGCATGGTATCTTCTTGTTTTTTTAGTAAGGCCTTCTTGTTTTCTAAGTGTACCATGAAATATTTTTATAGGTTACCCATCAAGAAACCAAAAAACAATGTAGCAGTTCAACTTTCTTCACTATCAATAAGCATTTCAATGCACAATCGAAAATTTTCATTTCAATTCATCCAATTAATTCATTTTTTAAGTTCTGAAGGACCAAGAGATACAATTTTGAATTTTCCTTCATCTCTGACTATATTTTTGAATCACCAGCAAAACTTAATTTGAAAGAAGACACTCATATCTAAAATTTGCTACCCAATTCTACTGGTGATGGGGAAGAACCTTGCTTGATTAGCCCAAGAACATTAATTGTTCCTTGATTTGGAATGCTACGAATAGAAAACAAAAACAGAAGATATATGAACTAAATAATAATCTAAACATAGCAATTGTACTATAGATTTCACAGGCAGAAAATCTCATCTTAATGCTAGAACTAACTAAATCATTTAACTAAAATGAAAATAAAATAAATTCAGTCAATCCTACTCGTCATTGCATCCTTAATTACAGCTACAAAGAATTATAATGACAAATCTAAATAAAAAAGAGGGAGATAATATGTAAGAATCCAGTAATCCATGCTCTTGGTTGGCCCATCATTAATTTGATAAAAAGTAGTTAGACGGAAAAAGAACTAAAGAAGAAAAAAGATATCATTTTATTTTTAATTGATCCCTAAAATTGTATCATAAGGAAATGATTTCATGATGGTAAGTGGGCAGGTGTAAATTTTTGGCTGCAACGTGTAATTCATGCACAACTTTGGTTAGAATCAACCAAATTAAATAAGAGCAACAACTTTGGTTAAAAGACATGCACTCTAATCTTTCTATAGCCATCAACTTTTCTTTCTATCCATCTTGGAGACTTGGACTAATGCAATCCAAAAAACAGCCATCTTCAACAACTGATATGTTCGGAGCAAAGTGAAAGGAGTTGAAATCAGAGGGAGCAAATTGGAAAAGATGCTAAATATGATGAAGCATGCAGTCATAACTCAAAGGCCACAGGCGGAAGCCACTAATTGCTCGATTTTATCCCGCTATGGTGAAGATCGAAGGTCTATACGGGGAGAAGGAAAGGTGACGCGACCGATCAAGCTCCTCAAAGTTGGATTTCCATTCAATCCAGGGCACCATTAAGATTGCATAGGTGGCTATGAGATTTTCATTCTTGCAGTGAGGGAAAGGATGGTGGGTTGAGCTAATTTCACCTTATTGATTAGCTGTCGCCGGCGAGAAGCGTTGGACTGCAGTTCAGTTTGTTGCAGAGATGTGTCGTTGTCACCGGCAATGGCTTCCCAAGCTGTAGGGGTGAAGTTCGTTCGTTCGATATCAGGATGGAAGGAGCGCGGAAAGGGAAAAGGTGGCCCAACGGGAGGGAAACTCAAGTTTGGCCCAGGCCCGTGTTAGTATATGCGAATTGACTATATGCCCCTTCCGGAAATCAATCTGGAGCCGACAAATTCAAATCTCTGAAAAACTAACCCATGTTTTGCCTTTATATATTGTATAAACTAGCAAGAGATGACACGAGCTATCACAATAGCAGGAATCACAGCTATCACTATAACAGGAGTTATGCTCATGCAAAGATTAAGTTCTTCGGTACCCAAATCTGATTAATTTTCACCCCAAAAGTGAACCACACCATTTTTTTAGCAAAGATGATACGAGCTCCTGAACTCACTATAAAAAGCAAAGAACTAATGAAGCTATATTATAAGTATTCCAAAATCAGGAAATAATACATTACTATGTTATAAGGCTTCCCAAACCCCATCAGAATCATCACTTAATTTCTCGTTTAACACTGCCATTCCTAAAAGGGGATACTAGGTCGAGGTTTAGAAGATAGTAATGAACACTACTGGCAGAGTGGGTTCTTGTGGTTCTTCAAGACTTGGACATGTCGGAAGCCATAGATCATTCAGGTGCGAGTGAAACACTAACAAAATTGAAAACCAAAGCAAAAACGAACTTAGTGGACACACAAAATTTCACAAACATATAAATCTGGGAAACAAGCTTCCAAAGCCAGCTGATCAAAATAGTCAACCTCAGTTAATCAGTTCCTTTTTTCAGTTTCCTTTACTTTTTGGTAAAACAGTACATCAATTCCAAGAACACAACAGATGTTACCATAAAGTGCTTCCAGGCATCTATAGATCCTTGTCTTTAACAGTCGTATGAAGGGCTTGCAGAAGACAATTGTCCAACAAACTATCCACTTCCTCGGCAGATAAGGTATGCTGTTGTTCCTCAGCAGCTGATTCATCACCAACATTATCTGAAACCTTCACGTTACCAACCTCTACATTTAATTGTTCGACTTGACTTTTGGAAGCTTCGGTTGATGACGAAGGAAGATGATCCATTGCGTCATTTGCTACAGCCAATTTCTCAACTTCGTCAGTTGTTTTGCCGTCCTGTTCGTCATGTGGAGAATGACGATCAAGACCTTCAGCTGAATCAGAATCTTGGGCCACTAGAGAGGCAGCCAGATCCTCAATAACAATATCCTCCAAGAAACCTGCATTAGGCACAAAGTGACCGTCCACTGACTCTCTACAAGCAGTGCCACATTTCAACTCAGCGCAGCGATTCCCAGATGAATATCTCAAACAGTATGCAGCATAATTACCAAAAGTGGGTCCCTGTAATAGTGTGTTACTCTTAAAGCCTTGCCACGCAGACCAGCTTTCATTGCTTCAGTACTGCTCATAGTAGTTAACCCAACCTGGAAAATTAGAAGGTTGTCTTTTTCATGGTACTACAAGAGTAGCCATTCTCCAACTAATAAAAAGATCCAAACACAGTAAGTTGAAAGCAAAGTAACCGAATGTAAACAATGAAAGCTTACAGCAACAGGTGCTGGGTTCCTAGGAACTTTCACAGACCATACTTCACCAACTTTAAAGGAGGGTAGTCCTTCAGCAGGCATACTAATGCCCGGGAACATCAAATCAGCACCTCCAAGCATGAATCGAGAAACCTCACCTCCCTTCAACAGAAAAGAAGGCAAGAGTGCAGGTACTCTCCAAAGAGCAAAAACTGCATGAAGAGACAAGTGAAACTCAATATCCCACCATAAACCAGAGAACCAAAATGAGTTATGCACTTTGGAGAGTTCATAAAACCCCACCCTTGAAGAGAAAAAAACAGGTCAAATTATACTTCCGATTGCCTTTTTTGTTAGAGAGTGGTATAAAATCCAACATAACCTTCTCCCAACAATTAGACTTATTGGGACCAACTGGTTTATGTCATGGTATCAGAGTCTAGAACCGAAAGGTCATGTGTTCGAATCTCAACGACCCCCAATATTAACTGTTGTCTTTTAAGCACATAGTATGGTGGAGTTGGCTTTCGTTTGAGGGGGCGTGTTAGAGAGTGGTATAAGATCCAACATAACATTCTCCCTGGTTTATGTCATTTTTAACTGTTCTTTTTTATCACCTGATACTCTCCTAGCTTCTAGGCAAACATATGCCTAAATATGAAATCGAACTCTGAAGAGTTTCCCTTCAACTCCCACTCTTTGATCACAAAAGCACATTACTCTACATTACTAGGAGTCGACAAATTCAAGACAACGTCCAGCTTACAAAACTCATTGATATGCCATCGATGTCGAACAACACGAGGAAGTCACCTTCAACACTATAAACCAGGACCCGATTATGAAGCTTAGCAACTGCTATCTCCACCTGAAACGCAAGACTCATCATAGAAACCATCAATTACTGAGGACACTTTCCTTACATTCAGTCAATGATGAGAATAACCAATGATTCCTCGTTCAAAAAGGGAAGGGGGCCATCTGAAAGAAAACTCACCTTGGGTGGGAATAAGACGTCCATATCGGAATCAGAAGCACGCGGGAATTTGTCTCTTGAGGGTTCGTTTGAGCTTCTTCCGGTCAGCTCCGGATAGCCTCTGATGCGATTTCGCCTCCACTGCTTTCTTAAACATCGTTCTCGCGCTTCGAACTGAAAACCCAGAAGCTGCCGTTGATATGCCTTAGAGGAGCACAGTTTTTTTGTTTTTTAAGAGAATGCAAGGAAGATTCTGGAGCGGCCGGAAATGTTGGCGGTGGCGATGACGGTGGCTGTCAAAAGTAATAAAAAAAAAATAGCTCCAATCGCCGGTAATTCTCGTTGTTATATTTATTAGGCCAAAATCAATTTGTGTAGGCAGAACTGTGATAATAATAGTCATTTTTGGCTAAATATAAAAAATAGTTAGAATTTTGAAAGTTTCATGACCAATATAGTCATTTTTTTCCCAAAAGAAAATAGTCATTTCTGTTACATATTTTAATGATGTTAGTGACACTGTTAGTTAAATTAACGGAACGCTTATTTGGCTGCCAACTCACCAGACACATCATTCACAACTCACCAACAGTTGCCACATAGATGCCATGTCATATTTTAATTTAAAAATTAAAAAAATCATAAATGAAAAATCATAAAAATACAATAATTAATTTATCTATTCTTCCCTTCATCTCCATCTCCCCCGTCCACCAAACTGCTCGCCATCTTCAACTTTTGCCCTTGTATTTTCAATCAACAGAGATGAGGAATAACAGAGATAGATGGGGAACAACAAATTGGGAAAGCCAAAGGATCCCATTTTTCACAGTGATGCCGCATAAATCGCCCACCCTAGCCAGTCACCCACCGCACAAATTGGGAAACCCCATCGTCGCAGCAATCGCCCACCGTCGCTAGTCGCCCACCATGGATCCGGAGAAGAAGCTCGAAATCATGCGAGATCCGAGGGATTTCGTGGAGGGATAAGGACAAGGCAGTGGCGGAGTTGCTGCCGGATTGACTGATATCAAAAGCGGATCTGGGAGGATTGTTCTAACAGGAGCGACGACTGGGATAACTAATGCAAGGGGAATGAAGAGAGAGAGAGGAGAGGGATTGGAGTAGAGAGAAGTTTTGGTGCTCGGGACACAGCCCCAATTTCCCCAGCGTAACGGCGTGAATCGCTTTGGTGCTTGGGATACGATCCTCATAAGGAGGCAGCAGTGGACAAGAGTGAAGGCGACGGTGGATTGGGGTGGGGTTGAGGGCGAGGGAGGCAGTGGAAGAAGATGAACAGGTTGGGATTGTAGATTTTTTTTTTAATGTTTTATTAAACTTAATTAGAATAAATTGAAAAAGAGAGAAGGATGGATGGTTCAAAAATACTTTTTATTTTTTCATTTAATTTAATTAAAATAAAATAAAAGGATAAAGTTTTAATTATTTTCCACCTAATATTATTTTTGAATAAAATATGTCACGTTAACCGCTGCTGTTAGTCTAGTCAGCACGTTAACTAACACCGTCAAACAATTGGACGGAAGTGGCTATATTTGGTATTTCGCCAAACGTGACTATATTTGGCCAAACCGTCAAAGTTTTGACTACAAGAGTGTATTTTGCCAATTTATTATTAGTATTCAATTTTATTTTTGCATATAAAATGGAGTACAAAAATCTACATAAGAATTAGTGGATACAATTTGGAAATTGGAACCCACTCCCTTAACAAAGCGAACATAGAAGGGTCACGACTCACGAAAAATAGGCCATCTTGTTATTTTTGGGAGCAACAAAGAGTATATTTGTCTTCCCTGAAAATCTTTGTTTAATTATATAGTTATTTGATCCAGTGATAAAAGAGTAATTTTTACCACTACATGAGCAATTATGTTATGTCACGTACGTCTCTTAAGGTATAGAGGCGGAGCTAGGTGAGGGGATGTGGGGTCCATGGACCCCACTTGAAAAATGAATATACATTAAAAATGATGGATTTTTAAGGTGTGGTTAGTAAATTTAGAACCATGGACCCCTCTTCCCAAGACAATGATTTTACTATTTAGAGAAATTTTGTATTTCATTTTGTTTGGACCCCACTAAATTTTATCTCCGGCTACGCCCGTATAGTAACAAAAAACTATAAAATAATGAACTGTGAGTTGAGAGTTCTATTTCATTCATCAAACTTAACCGCCTCGTAATATGATTTAGGCTCCATCTGATTTATCAGACTTAATGCAAAGGATCTATCAATGGAACTCAATCCATTCACATTCAAACACAAAGGATATTAATGCATGCATTTGTCTTTCCAAAAGCTTCATATTTGAGTGACGGGTCCAGATGGTAGTCATTACTCATTATATTCACTTGACAATGTTAGTGTTGTGGTATATGATCCACGATTGAATCTCTCGTAACAACTCGAGTTATTGGGACCAATTGGTTCTTGACATGGTATCAAAGCCTTCTGTGACCGAGAGGTCTTGTGTTCGATTCCCGGTGACCCCCATTTGTTAAGCACATGGTATTCTTGTCTCAGCTCTGTGCAAACTTCAAGCTCTTGTGAGTGGCTTTCGTTTGAGGGGGCGTGTTAGTGTTGTGGTATATGATCCACGATTGAACCTCTCCCAACAACTCGAGTTATTGGGACCAACTGATTTTTGACAGACAGAATCATGTGCCTTGGAGGTCTTCCTGCCTTTGGTAAATCTAAGTCATCTGGATCAACATCAATTTATGGGAGTAACTCTTGGTTATCGTAATCAGAATATAAACATAGTGATCATCATATTCAACATGAGTAGCGGGAGGCATTTGGTTCTTCCATGAGCCAATGTGATGGTATATGATCCACGATTGGATCTCTCCCAACAACTCGAGTTATTGGGACCAATTGGTTCTTGACATGGTATCAAAGCCTTCTGTGACCGAGAGGTCTTGTGTTCGATTCCCGGTGACCCCCCATTTGTTAAGCACATGGTATTATTGTCTTCAGCCCTGTGCAAACTTCAAGCTCTTGTGAGTGGCTTTCGTTTGAGGGGGCGTGTTAGTGTTGTGGTATATGATTCACGATTAAACCTCTCCCAACAACTCGAGTTATTGGGACCAACTGATTTTTTGACAGACAGAATCATGTGCCTTGGAGGTCTTCCTGCCTTTGGTAAATCTAAGTCAACATCAATTTATGAGAGTAACTCTTGGTTATCGTAATCAGAATATAAACATAGTGATCATCATATTCAACATGAGTAGCAGGAGGCATTTGGTTCTTCCATGAGCCAATGTGATGGTATATCACAAGCAGCCTAAAACCTCATATGGCGATTTGTTTTCCAGAACTGGAGTTGAGGTTTTTAATGACACGGACAACATGTAAGATGCAGTCACTCAAATCCTTTAAAGGTAATAATGTCTATCGGGATACTAGTTCTTAGGGGTGTCAATTCGGGTTTGGGTTTTCGGTTGTAACCAAACCCGAACCGATAAGATGTATTATCAGGTTTTCGGTTTTCTTTCATGTTCGGATTTTCGGTTTTGAGTTTTATTTTTCGGTTTCAATTTCGGGTTTAGCTAAAGATACAAAAGCTTCATATCCAATAGGGTGTTTTCGTTTCCGGGCTTCAGTTTTGCCTTAACCGAACCCAAAACGTTAAAAGATTTTTCGGTTTGGGGTAACCAAAATCGAAAACTCTCTTATCGGTTTCGGTTTTCAAAACGGGTTTTGGTTTTTCGATTTATTTGGGTTTCGGGTCGATTACAACCGACTAGTAGTCCTGCAACTCTAATAATACCCTAATTCCCTAACTATCTATCTAATATCTATCCCCACTCCAACCTCTCGTCCCTCCTAATTCCCACAGGCACAACCTCCATCATCACCACCACTCGTAGCTACTAAGAGCAAATTGGGTATGAATTTTTATTATTAATCTCTTTTTAATAAATTACATTTTATGAAGTTAGAAAAATATATTAATTAAAATTTTATTTCTCCCTCTCTCTCGCTTCCGCGGATTTCCAGCCACCTCTTTGCCTTATTTTTCTCAATCTTTTCATTTTCTCCTTTCAGCCGAACTAATACCATTGCAAAAATTGAAACAAGAAATCAATACCAATCCATTAAACAAACACTGCCACTTCAAGAAACATCAGTACTATTGTAGAAATAAAACAATAAATCAATAACAAAACATAAAAACATTATCACTTCATCCTACACAAAAACTACCACTACCACAACTTATACCGCTTATTAACCAATATCATTGCAGATTTAACAAATACTAATACGTGAAGATCAATACCAATACGATAACATCAATACCAATAAAGAAATACCATTAAATAATAGTCCATATGACCGTATCAATGCGAAAAAATAATAGCACTAAAAAAATACTAATACTAAAAAGTACATACCAATACGATAAAATCAGTATAATATTTAGTTTTTTATACCAGTCATACCGTATTGGGTTTTAGATCAAATTTCAATTCATAGTTAGATTGTTTCAAAAACTAAATTAATCTACTTTTAATAATGGCAACTAGAAAAAGTTAGGCTAGAAAAAGGACTCCACCAAGTCCCAACATAAAGCAAACAAATGACGCTACTAGAATAATGTTGACCATTGTATGAGGAAGACTTAAACATTTTATAATCGGCATTACAAAATATTGATAACAGGTTGACCGCTTGCAGACTTGGCATTCAGTCGGTCCTTTGCTAGTTATTATCATATTCGCCGGCTAGAAAACAAAAACCACAAAAAAAGAAAAATCTCTTTCTTTCTCGGGGCCTAAAATGAAAATGCCAAAAGAATGCTAGATAGTAGATAGGAGTAACCACACAAGACATGAAACAAAATCGTTACGGAATAAAATAGTATAGCTAAAATAATTAATAATGTATTGAACTCTCTCTAAAAGAGATATTTTCTCGATGGTCATTGACCCCCAAATTTTTAAATTTAGAGTGTGATGGATGTTCTCATTTTATATTATCGTTAATTTCCTCCATTTGTGTTTTAATCTTTGTTTGTAAAAGAGTATTGAGATGGCAGGATTTAATCAATATTGTATCAATATGATATCATTATCACAATCATAAGAAAAAATTATATTCAACCAATATTATATTAACATAATATTAACCATAACCAGCAAAACAGTTAAACCAATATTATATTAACATATATTGAACCAAAATAGTAGGCCCCGTTGTCGCTCAAGCGGCACGTGGGGCTGAGGTTCCCTTGGTTATCAAATAAAAAAATATTTTCCTTAATTATGGTCTTAAATAAATTATTTTTTTATTTTTGAAGCAATAAATTATACTACGTGGGAGTTCGTTTATTTGCATCCCGATTCACGTGTCTCGGCTTTTGAGAAATCATGAACCGCCCATGACTATTAATCACAAGCAATGTTGCCAGAACCGAACCGGAGCATAACCCGTTAATGCGAATGGTTCGCATTTTAGTGGTCCAACCGGCATTAGAACATTTAAAAACCGTTAGAGAACCGGTACCTAATAAACGTTATCAGTATAAATAGTGGACATTTCTTAATCAAAGCTCATTTCTTTCCTTCGAAATTGTGAAATGGAAATAAGAATTCAGTTTGAGATCCCGACGTTTTTGGTTTATTGCAATTTTCTATTTTCTGTAATTTTTTTAATTAAATTTAACGATTGAATGGCAAAAACCAGACGAGCGGCTCGATCGGTTCGAACGGTTAACCGTCTCGGCCGCTCGCCAACCGCTACATAAAACTGGAGCGGCTTTTACACTGTTCCGAGCTGATTTTGTGATCGAGTAACGGTTTTAATAACACTGATTACTAGGGGTGGCAGTCGGTCGGTTTCGGTTTAACCAAAAACCGATTTCTCGGTTATCACTTAAACCGAGCAACCACCTCCTATTGCCGACCACCGACCGTGAGGGACACCACGGCTAGCCGACCACCGACCGGTCGGTTATTGGTTTTGGATCGGTTAGCCGCATACCCAAAAATACTCCCTTCTCTATAAAAAAAATAAAATAAAATAACAAAAATTCCCTACCACTAAATCCTTATCTTCTTCCTCCTTCTCTCTCCTTCCTTCCTCTCCACCCACCAGAGAACACATACCACTTCTTCCTTCTCTCTCCTTCCTCCATTTCAAACCCACAATAGACAACACCCACCACTCATTCCTTCTCCCTCCTTCCTTCTTCCATTTCAGATCTGGACACCACACAGAGCAGAGGCGCGGCAGCGGCGAGTGGAGGCGGCGGGGCGACGAGGTGAAGGCGGTGGGGCGACGAGGTGGAGGGCTGGAGCGCCTGCGCCGCTGCGCGAGAAGGCGAGAAGGGGGAAGGGGAAGTGGGTTGCGCGAGAAGGCGATTGGGGAAGGGGAAGTCGATTGATTTGGGAATTGGGAGGAGGAGGGTCGACTGGATGGAGCTTAGGGTTAGTGGGGGCTGAAGCGGGGTCGGTTAGTCGGTTAACCGCCAGTTTCCGACACCGGTTAGTCGGCTAGCCGAACTCCTGCCCTTCCCCACCGCCAACCGACCGATACATTCAGAACCAATTTTTCGGTTAGCCGAAAACCGGTCGGTTTGGTTGAAACCGTCCGATTAACTGCTAACCGAAAACCGTTCTGCCACTCCTAGTGATTACAAGAGAAGGATTATTCGGGCCAATTACGGAAGCTGGCTATCTAGCTGCTCCAGGCTTGTAATGAAGCCACACACAATGTTGTCGTCAGCAAACGTTGAGGCGGGTCATCACTCGTCAGTCGTCACCGGATGGGAAATGGGATGGGTCTATTTCATTGCGTGTATAAATTTAGAAACGTGGTGATTGGGCGAGCTTGGCTAAAAAGTCCATGTAGAATTGTAGACTCTCTTACTCAATAGTAAGTTGATGGAAAATGAAACTAATGTTAGAAGATTTAAGTTGTAATACGCGAGAATGTAATTTTTTAAAATGATTCTTGACTTTTAATCGGTGTTATTAAAGTCGAGCCGAGTCGCTCGGCCCGGTCACAAAACCGGCTCGAAATAGTCTAAAACCCGCTCCAGTTTTATGTAGCGGTTGACGAGCGGTTGAGGCGGTTAACCTCTGGAGCAGATCGAGCCGCTCGTCCGGTTTTTGCTATTCAGCCGTTAAATTTAATTTAAAAAATTACAGAAAATTGAAAATTGAAATAAACAAAAAAAACGTCGGACTCTCAAACTGAATTCTTATTTCCATTTCATAATTTCAAAGGGAAGAGACGAGCTCTGATTATGAAATGTCCACTATTTATACTGATAACGTTTATTAGCTAGCGGTTCTCTAACGGTTTTTAAACCATCTAATGCCGGTTGGACCACTAAAGTGTGAGTCGTTCGCATTACCGGGTCATGCTCCGGTTCGGTTCTGACAACATTGCTTTTAATGACAAAATAAATAATTTTAAATTTTTAGAAAAATTACATATCTATATGGGTCGACCTATTTTGATTGAGGATGACAACTGAACCTGAACTCAATAGGGATTCAACCTGGTCATAGCGAGTAAATCCCAGTATTTACGGGGTTTGGGTCAAGGGTGCAGGTTGTATTGCTTTTGAATTTAGTGGGTTGGGTTTAGGTTTTGCCAAAACCAAGCCCGCTTTATGACACGACATTTACCCTTAAAGCAAAACGACTCCATTTGTATCCAACAGGAACAATATGAATAGTTTACGAACGTTTTTAGTCTTTATGACAATATAAATCTAATAATATTGATAATTTGTGGAAGTTATTAGTCTTTATGGAGATATATTTGTAGGAAAATTTTTCGGTAACATTACAATGTGGGTATTAGAAGAGATAATATATAGTTATATTTGTGAACCCAGCATGAATACTCATGCATTTGTTAGTACCCGTTGGATTGGATTGGGTTTTCACTTTTAAAACCAATGAATATTTTATCAAATTTTTTTAATGAGTGCATCTGTTTGGGTTAGGTTTATGTTTAGACTAACTGACGACTCGTTGTCATCTCGAACCTTCATCAATCCCTATAATTCTGACTTCGACCTGACTTGTCACGAAACGGGTATTGCTATGGGATACCCACTAGTGATGGCAATGGGGCGGGTTATGTACGTGGACACTGGGCCGTGCCGCCCACGGGCTAGCACGGCACAACACGGTTAGAGCATGACACAAGCACGGGCACGAAATAAATGGGCCAGCCCGGCACGAGCATGAATAATTTATGGGCCGTGTCGGGCTTAAACTTCATGGGCAGGGGCACGAGCACAGGCACGACACGGTATATAAGTGGGCAGTGTCGGACCTAATATTTTCGAGACTTTATTGAGTATAAGAACGGACATGGCACGAAAATAATATTTATTTGATAGAAATAAATATAAAAAGAATTATAGGTTCAAATATTACAAAACACAAGTAGAAAAATAATTATTTGTTGTTGTTAGAAGTGTCATAAAAATATATACGTAATTACTAACATAAGTAAAAATGGACAAAGAATTAAACAAAGTCAAATCACACTCGCTATACTTCCAATTTTCTTTTCCCCCTTATTTGTTACTTTTCTCAAACATTATCGGTTAATACTATCTTCCTCCGTCCAATTTTCACCTTCTTTTTCATTCTCTCTTTTGTTTTTCGTCCTTTTCATTAAACACGAATACGAGCATGGCACGAGCACGAATAGGCACGACACGATTTGAACCGTGTCCGGGCCTGGGCCCGGCCTAGCAAAGTTAACAAATGGGCTTGCATAGCACGACACGAAAACTGAAGGGTCGTGCCAAGCACGACACGAAATAAATGGGCCCGAAGTGTGTCCATGCCGTGTCGGCCCAAGCACGACCCAACGCCCATGTACGGGCGGGTATCTCAATACCCATGTCCCGCCCCACGCTACTATTGGCCGGGGCGGCTAAAACCCGTGCGGGTACGGAGCGGGCTAACATTTCATTTGAAAAAAACGTATAGAAATTTTATTTTTTTATGATAAAACAGATGGGAAAGTACTATATAAATGAAAAAATAGTGATAATAAAATGGGTAATTGAGTCTAACCAGTTGAAAGATCGACTTTAACTTGTTGAAAAAATTCAAAATTGAAGAAATATGTATATATATTGTAAGAAATTAAGGTATACTAGCAAAAAAACAGGACGGGATGAGACAGGACGGGTCAAAATAGATATCCATACCCCGCTCCATGCTACTGCGGGTTGGATATACCCGCCACCCCATCACAAATCAGATCGGATAATACCCACAGGACGAGTCTAAATTGCCATCACTAATACCCAGCCCGATTTACCAATTGTCATTCCTGATACACTTTAAAAAAAAAAACTCCTGTTTAATAAAGGTCAAAAAGAAAAGCTATTATGGAAAAGGGTAAAGGAAGTTGGTATGGTACGTAAGAAACACATTATACACCATTGGGAATGGTTCGTACTTCGTTGGACAAGTGGTTAGCCGTCGCCCGGCTGGTTGCCTTCTTTCCTCTCTCACACCACCACCTCTCCTTTTTTATTTTTTCCTCTCCACGACGACGTCACTCCGACTCACCGCGGTGACGCAGCTTGGACGACGTCACCCTCCGTCATTCCTCCACCTATATAAAACAGAACGGACAACTGGTTACCCACCCCACCATCAGCTCAATTGAGAGAGGCACGAAGCTTCCGCTATTTGTTTCCTCCCCTTTGGGGAAAAAAAAATCAATAATGGACGCCAAAACCACCACCGCCGATAAGCCAATCAAGAAACGACGGCAGGCGGAATCGGAGGAGGAGACGAGACCGGCTCGGGCGGCGCCGCCGGAGGAGGAGGTGGAGGAGTTCTTCGCGATACTGAGGAGGATCCACGTGGCCGTCAAGTACTTCGAGAAGAGCGGGGCGGAGGCCGGCAGCCTGCTGAGCGGGAAGAGATGGAGGCCATCCTTCGAAAAGGAGGATTTCGTGGAGATCGATGACGTGGCGGTTGGTGAGTGTGGCGAAGGAGGGAATTATAAGGAAGCGGCGGAGGGGGAGGTGGAGGTGGAAGGAGCGGGTCTGGATCTCAACTCGGATCCTCCGCCGGATTTAACAAATGATGACCAAGCTAGCTAGTCAAGCAATTGAAGGGAGGAAAAAACGCAGGACGATCGACGCCGGCGATCGAGTACTACCTCATCTATTGTGTAAATTTCTAAGATTAAAATACCGTATCGGTGGTTCGACCTGAAAAAATCTTCTACCAGAAACATAATCGGTAAGCAGTATTTAGTGGTATAATACGGTTGAATCATGATTAAACCATGGTTTTAGCATAAAATACTCTACCGCTGACTTTTCCAGTACGACTTCCGGTACGATATTTTCAATCCTTGCAGTCTAAATTTTAGTTTATTGCTATATTTTTTCCCATTTGTTGGATGATTTTCTATTTACTAATTTGCCGATCATCTTCTAATCAGATACATGTTTCAGTGCTTATGCATTGAGATCCACTGATCCAGCAAGCACAATATAATAATTCCGTCTGGAGAATTCTTTTTTTCCTTGTCTTGTTTTGTTTGGTGTGGTTTCGTTGTGATACTATTAAGAAAATGATATAAAAGCTAAACTTTGCTAGGAGGGTAATGTGTTGTTTCTGGGAAGAATCGCGAGTCGCGACGAATCACGAATGACTTTGATTTCCCTCCATTTCATTAAATCTAATTATGTTTATTTAATTGGGATATGGTGCAAATAGCCAAATAGGGATGACAACTTTGCCCATACCCATGGGTTTCTCACTATCCAACCTAATTGGGTTGGGTATGAAATCCAAATAGATGGATATGGGTAGAGTTTGATGAGTTTGTACCCATATCCATTTACTTTGGGTTGAGTTGGGTTTATATCAAATAGATTTGGGTTTGTACCTATGCCCAAATACAAATTACAGTTTGGTACCCAAACTTAATAGACATGCATATTTAGTACCTAAATTTAATTTTTTTTGCATATAAGTCCTCAAAATATCGATGGAAAATTACGTTTTGGTACCTAAATTTTTTTGGTCTTACATTTTGGTACCTAAACTTTTCAAGATTTGCAAATAGGTCCAATTTTTGCATGTGTAGTTAAAACACCCTCAAGTAAATGGATATCCATATCCAACTCATACCCATTTAGATTATGGAAGCCCCAAACCCAAACCAATCTATAAACCCCCAATCCATATGCACTTCACCCATACCCAACCCATTATCAATGGGTCTACTTGGGTTTGGGTATAATTACCCATGGGTGGGTAATTTGCCATCCCTAGGTGCAAACTTTTATGGTGGTTTTGCATGACAACCTACATCTTAACAATTCATTCATTATTTGATCGAGTAGATATGAGTAAAGGATATACAAATTAGAGATTAGTAGGTTAAAATTGATGGTATGTGATATAATATCAATAAATCTCTTCTAATAGTTCAAGTAATTGTTTGGAAGAAGTTATTGTTTATCGTTGGCCTTTATTGTAGAATCAGTCGAGGCCCCGAGAGGTAGTGGCTTCCCCTGTGGCAGATGTCAGCCGTTCGAGAGCTTTCTGTTACTGAGAGTCCTTTTGATCGAATCTCGACGACCCTCATATGTTAAGTACATAGGTACCAACCCGGAGAAATTCATTAGCAGGTTGGATTGGGTCTTGGTTTTGTCAAAATTCAAGCAGCTTTCCATCTGTCCCGCATCCTAAAAGCAAAACGACGTCATTTTATATCTACCATGAACAATATCGATGTTATTTCTCTTTATGTCAATATAAAACTAATTTATGAATGCTATTGGACTTTATAGAGATATATTTGTAGGTACAATTTGGAAAATATTACAATATGAGGGTTTGAAAAAAAAAATAGTTATGTTCATGAACCCATGGGTATAGATATCAAACAAGAACCCGATCAAGTGACCCGCGCAGTCAACCTAAGTCGTAATTGGATTGACCAGCAATCTGATTTACCCCAAACGCGATTGACCGGCAACCCAATTAAAACTCCGTAACTCGATTGATTCGAACACGACTAACTTGTGACCCTCCCAATTGACCTGAATAATTACTATATAATATAATATATAGTATTTCAAATTGAATATTTTTGTTATAAAATCTATGTAAAACCTTCTTTTTTCATTTCATAAAGGAAAGTTCAAAATATGAAATTCACTTGAAATGATGTATTTTTAGTAAAATTATAATAATTAAAACACGGCGTTCGATTGAACATTAAGTATTTTAACAAAATAAAAAAAATGAAATATAAAATCAATACAATGCCTAATGAATAATTAATAATTGAGACAATGCATAAAGTTCATATGATATATATTAAATATTAGTTAATTTAACTAGTCAACAAAATTATCAATTCAATATAAATAGAGTAAAATAATTTATTTGATCATTTTATTATTTTAAAGAAGGATAAATTTTGGTGATTTCAACTATTTGGGAAGAGAAAGAATAGAAGAATTTGGTGCTTCATTTTTTTTCCAGAGGGTGCTTCAATTTGTGGAAAAATAAAGAAGAGGAAATAACAATCAGATTCTTTGGGACAATAAACCTATGCCTGCGTTTAAGGTCTCTGTGGTTTGGAATACCTTGCGTGTTAAGTATGAGGTGGTGGATTGGGCAAAGCTTATTTGGGGGAAGAATTATATCCCCAGAAATAGTGTTTTGGCCTGGATGATTATGTTGAATTGTATTGTCACTAGAGCTGTCAAAATGTAACCCGACCCGCAACCCGCCCGCAACCCGATTTGACTAAAAGTCAATGAGCCGTAACCGCCCGACCCGCAACTCGACCAACCCGCAACCCGACCAACCCGCAACCCGATCGACCCGCAACCCGACTAACCCGAACCCGTAACCCGACCAACCCGCGACCCAACTATAATAGAAGGAATTCGATGAAGATAAACTATAAGTTGACATTTGAAATCCTAGTTCACTAAAGTCTGATCATTACATCATTAATTATTAACTTAGTATAATAATATACATCATCAACCTATTAACGCATATAACATCATCAAATATTGATTTAGATACATCATCAACCTAATAGTCCACATAAGATTATAAAATATTAGTTTAGCATAATAAGATAATTATAAGATTTAAAATCCAAATATCATGGTCCTATCATAAAAAAGACTAATAATAGTTCACAAAAGTCTGATCATAACAAGAATACATAACTCATAATAGTTCATATTGTCTCAAGACATCAAATATCAATAAAACATGTCCAAAAAACAAATTGACATTCCAAATGACGATCACTCTAGAAGCTTTACTTCTTCTCCATCATCCCTCGTATCTTCATCATCGTCATCTGTACAATTAATCAGTGAAAAGAAAATAATAAGGAAAAGAGAATAGTTTGTTCAGTACAAAATAACAATTTGTTTTTTCTTACCCATTTGGTATCCTCGTATCCAATTACGAGTTGTCACAACAGCTTCAAGAGTATCAGACAAAATCGAAGTTCTCCATTTTGTTAATATTCTTCATCCCAAACTAAAAGAAGACTCTGATGCAACTGATGTAATTGGAATAGAAAGTACATCCTTTGCCATTTTAGAGAGGTGAGGAAATCGAAATTGATGGTCCTTCCAATATTGCAAGACATCAAAAGGAAGTAGCTTAGAGACTCCATCAATGTCCCCAAATGCAGGTATCAAAGGATCAACCAAATACAATTGCAACTCAGAACTAGTTGACGTATTGTGGTTGATATTGAATGCATAAAACCCCTACAAACAATAAATATAGATATCATTGATATTAACACATAAGCATGTTCATCATTTTCTTTACAGTTAGCATGTACATGAAACAAAACAAATAATTAACCAAAGACCAAAACACAATAACATAATTCATAAATGTAGCAACAAACAAATACTTACAGCAGTGTAATTGTCCAAGGGAACGCTTGGAGAAGTCATAGACACACCACTTTGAGTAGCTGAAGTGGCCGATTGATTCTTATATTCTTCCAAAAGCAACTCCAAATCATCCACAACATCCTCGACTTTTGAAACATATTCTCCACCCAACTTTTCATAGCAATAATTCACAAAAGCAACCTTATAACGAGGGTCCAAAATAACCCAAAAGCAAGCACCAAGTTGTAGTCTTTCCAATACTTCAAGAATTTCAACATCATTGCATTTGCCATAGCACGTATATCATCATCTAGACTTGTACAAAGAAGCCTCAACTCAAGATGAATCTTCCAAACATTCTCAAAAAACAGATTACTAGTCGGGTACTTAGTTCCAGAGAATAACTTTGTGATTTCATCAAAAGGCTTCAAGAATTTTATAAGCACTTCTATCTTCTCCCAATCTTCAGATGATGGACATTCATTATACTCGAAATCCATCCTTGCTAAGTTTACAAATGCTTGACGATAATGATTTGCCCTCTCAAGCATATTATAAGTTGAATTCCATCTTGTTGGCACATCCAACCACAAAGACCTTGTTTGTTTCATCCCACTTTGCTCAACACATTCCTTAAACTTAATGTAACACCCCGAATTTTGAGTTCAAGTTCGACCTTAATACGTGAGCGGTTGAATTAACGGTTACGTACTAAGGATTGCAACCGCGGATTAGGAATAATAATAATAACTATTATTATTATTATTATTATTATTATAAAAAAAGGAAAAATTGGCTTGTACTTTTCCCATGCCCCCAACGCCAAGAATCCATCCGGATTCACTAAATGGAGAAACTCTACCCTTCCCCAAATTCCCCACGTCCAAAAAGAATAAACCCTCTCAATTTTCCCCACCTGTGACCGCCGCCAGCAAACCCCTCCCCAAAAAGACAAAACACAAGGAAGAATGGCGACCACCGAGAGAAAGTAATGGAACAGCGGTCGCAAGGGTTTGGATGGTCATGTTAGGTTGACTTCGTCCCAAAGACGATGGAATTGGATGCATCGACATCTCAGTGCTGCTGTCCGTTTATCGGCGGAGGAACGAGAAGTAGAGGTGCGTTGAGCTCCTTCTTGTTTGCTTTCGGTTGCTGTGAAACTGTGTAATGGATCAGAATTGGAGAAGAACCCGCATCGGATTCTTGTGCCGCGAAGGCTATATATATGGGAGACAACTCCTTCCTGTACAAGTAGTCTAGGCTAGTTTAATTACAACGGCTAATAAACAGTAAACCTATAACTACCAATGGAAAAGAGACACGTGCTCTGTACAGTAATCAATGAATAAGAAAACAACACTAAGCAGAACGGCATCGTTCTTATCCAGCCCTTCAGTTGCTTCCGGAGAGAACGGCGTCGTGCAGCGAGCTCCTAGTGTCGTTTTGCCAGTACATCTTCAGCATCAGACTTCGTCTTCTCTAACATGCCCCCTCAAGCTAACCATACATATCATGGATGTTTAGCTTGGATAGTAAGTGAAGAAGTCGATGCTGGCTCAGCCCCTTGGTGAACATATATGCGACTTGATTCTCAGTTTCAAGGTGACTGAGGCTAATGAGCTTTGATTGAAGGAATTGGCGTACCACATGGCAATCCACCTCGATGTGTTTCGTTCGTTCGTTCGTGGAACACCGGGTTCTCTGCAATATAAATTGCAGATCGATTGTCGCAAAAGACTTCCACAGGTCTTGGATGATCAATGTGAAGTTCTTGTAGAAGCCTTCTAACCCAAACGATCTCACAAGTAAGCTGAGCTAGAGCTCGGTACTCAGCTTCTGAGGACGATCTGGAAACTGTGCTCTGTTTCTTCGATTTCCAAATTATCAAAGACTTACCAAATGACACACAATATCCCGTTGTTGAACGCCGTGGGTCTGGGCATGATGCCCAATCTGAATCACTGAAACCCCTTAATTGTTCATCAGACTGAGATGGATAGAACAATCCCTGTCCTGGGGCATTTTTCAAATACTTCAAGACTCTGTAAACTAACTGCAGATGTGTGGTGGTAGGAGAAGCTTGGTATTGACACAACTGTTGAACAGCGAAGTTGAGGTCTGGTCGAGTGATAGTGAGGTAGTGTAAACGTCCCAGAATTTTCCTGAACAAAGTGCCATCTTCAAGTAAAGGTCCATCATCTGCAGAAAGTCTCGTTTTCATATCAATGGGAGTGATCACAGGCTTGGAGTCTTCATAGCCAGTGTCTTGCAATAAGTCAGTGCAATACTTTTTCTGACATATATGCATTCCCCCCTTTGATCGAGCGATCTCAAGGCCTAAGAAGTAATGAAGAGGTCCGAGATCACGAATCTTGAACTGAGAATGCAAAAACTGTTTGAGCTCTGTCATGCCTTGGACATTATCACCAGCAATGATAATGTCATCAACGTAAACAAGAAGAATAGAAATCCCAGATTGCTGGGAATACTTGATGAACATGGAATAGTCACTGTGGGATTGGTGATATCCAAAACTGAGCAGGGCAGAGGTAAGTTTGGCAAACCATTGCCTGGAGGCTTGCTTGAGGCCATACAAGGATTTCCGGAGTCTGCAAACATGTCCAGGTTCAGTAACACCAGGGGGAAGATCCATATACACTTCTTCTTCAAGATCCCCATGTAAGAATGCATTGCTTACATCTAACTGGTGTAATTCCCAGTCTTTTGCAGCTGCTACAGCAAGAAGGGTTTTTACTGAATTGAGTTTAGCAACTGGGGAATAAGTATCAAGGAAGTCAATTCCATGAATTTGGGTGAATCCTTTGGCTACCAGTCTAGCCTTGTACCTCTCAATAGAACCATCAGGATTAAACTTGATGGTGAA